TCCATTGCCGCAACAATGGCCAGGCAGCAACTGACGTTGCCAACTCGGTGTGGGGCGGTCTGCGGTGGGAATTGTCCCTGTTGGGCGATTCGCGGCTCCGTGACAGTTGATGGGCTAGCCCTGGGAAGTCGCTCGCATTGGTTAGTCGCGAGGCCTGCGGAGCAACATGACTCCGGCTGCCGAATGTGTCTGCGCTTGGGCGGTTCCTTCCGGTGCACAGTCTTCCTTCTGGTGGAAGCTTGAAATATCGCGACTCTTGAGAAGGCGGCATACCGGCTGGGATTTTCCGTTTATCGGATTTCGGTTCGTGTGGACCTCTAACACCCTGTTGGCATGGGCACCAAGATGGCGTCGCGGTACTCGGCTGGTTGTACCTGACACTAACAGACTCGCCGTTCTGGGGGGTTTCGAATTGCAGCAGCGCGCATGGCGTTGACACTCCTGGCCCGTTTGCCGGAGACATTCGCGACAACTTGCCCAGAAACGTGCTGCTGGCAACGGGTGGATCGTCCTGGGTTTGCGGGTATTGTGATGTACCCTGATACTGAGGGTTTTCTGGAAGTCTGGCCACATTTTCGCGATACGATGGTCATGGGTGTGGTCAAGGCTGTTTCAGATGCCCAACGGCACAATCCATGATAGGGGACACGTGCCCGCGAAAAGGGTCCGCAACGGGGGCCGCCTTCAAACAAGGAGGGGGCGAGAACATTCGCGATGCTGGAGGGCCCGGTGGTAGGAGGAGTTTGTTCAAGGGATTGGGGCACGCAGGGCGCCTACATGGCGTTCGCGTTCGCTGACATACTGAGCGTTATATCGGCGCTGGCAATCCGACCGCTCCAGCCCGTGCCGAACGGCGCCGCGGAAAGTCGGTTGTGGGCGGACGGTGCGGACGTCTCAAATATGCGAAAGTAAACCAGGTTATCTGGGCCGTTGTTATGGTGCGGTAATTGCGGTAATATTAATCTGATGGGTTGGACGGTCATACCAAGGTTGGCTCCCATCTTCGCCCCGGCGATGTTTTGGGCATGACTCGTGGGATTGGGTACTGAATGCGGTTTGCCTCGACGAGGTGCCTGAACGGTTCGGTCGGGTGCAATTTTTGCAAGATGACGCAGAGTAGGCAGTTGATCATCACGCCGTGATCATGTGGCACGTTACTGTACTGGCAATTTCTTCTCCCATCCGTTGGCGCCCTTTGGCGATGATAATTTGGTGCTGATAGGTATGTCGTTCGCCTCAACCCAGTGCTGATCCGACGCTGCTGGTTTGCGCACCACCGATGCGCGCTTAGAGGCCGCGGGTGATGGGTCTGCGTTCGTTTGCGATCTGGCGTTCAGCGTCGGCAGAGCATGCGCCGGTGCAAATTCTGCCGGCTGTGGGGTGAGCGCCGGCGAGGCAACAGGTGGGTCGGCGTGACCGGACTCTCGTGCTGGGTGCTGGTGCTGGCGATGTTAGCGCCGACAAACTCCGGCAGCCTGCACGGCCTGCCACGAGCGACTGACGCCAAGCGGGATGCCGGCCAACGGTGGCGTTCGGTTTAGGTCTCCGATGGGCGCGCGCGACGGCGTATTCCGGACTGCTCCGCCCGCGCAGGGCAACGCCGAGATGACGTGGCCAGCAACAGCGAACACGCCATGGCGAACTAGCGTATAGTATTTATTTTGTCTCTGAGACGTGTGGTGAAGCTTGCTCGGGACTCCTACGATTGTGCCGACTCCGCCACGGCGTGTGCCGGGGGGTTCATGGCACCATTGCGGCCATGGTTGCGGTACGATGGCAGTGCAAACCGCCACGCTCACCACGTTGCCGGCGTTACGAATCAGATTAACCAGCGCCGAGATGACACCGTGGCTTTCCCGCTCCACCGCGCTGAGGATTGAACTGGAATTAGCCGAGTAGAACGTGCCCATTCCGCAACTCAGCAGCATCAACGCCGGAACCACCATCACGAGAGACGAATCTTCGGACAGGCGCGATAGTGTCGAGATTCCGGTGGTTGACAGGATCAGGCCGCCGACGGTGAACTTCCTCCACCCAAACCGATCTGATAGCCGCCCGCTTATCGGCCCCAGCAGCGCCATGCAGATGGCTCCGGGTACCACAGCCAAGCCGGCGACCGACGGTCGGTAGCCCAGCACGTTTTGCAGGTAAAACGGCGTCATGAAAAGCACCGCTGAACTGCCCATAAACATCAGGAAGTTGGCCGACACGCCCTGAGAAAAATTCTTGCGCTGGAAGAACCGGAGCTGCAGCATTGGGCTCGTGTGCCGCAGTTCCCACCAGACAAAGCTGGCCAGCAGTACGACGAAAGCTACGGCTGCCGCCAAAATCGGCGGCGACGTCCAGCCCACACGATGCGCGTTGGTAATGCCTAGCAACAGCGCAAGCAGCGCTCCGGACGACATTACGGCGCCCAGCCAATCGAACCGGGCCGGTCGTCGACTGGCGCTTCGCGTCCGCACCTGTTCGGCCAGGATTAGAAGGCACAATCCAATACTGACCAGAACCAGCGGCACTACAGCGAAGAACACCGAGCGCCAACCCAGTGCGTCTACCAGAAGTCCACCGAGGGCCGGGCCGGCTACAGCCCCAGTCCCAACCATTGTCATTATTAGCCCGATGGCTTTGCCGCGCTCGGCCGGCGGGAATGCGCCAACGACGATGGCCATGCCGGTGCCCTGGGTCATGGCGGCGCCGGCTCCCTGGACGATACGGGACGTGATGAGCACCGCCAGATCGTTGGACGCGCCCGATGATATTGCGCCCGCTACGAAAACCAGCGAGCCAATGATGTACACCTTCTTGGCGCCGATCAGGTCGGCCAGCCGCCCCATCGGTAGCAACAGTGCGATGATGGTCATGGCATAGCCGATCACCAGCCACTGCACGCTGGGTATATCGGTGCTGAAATGACTGGCGATGGTCGGCAGCGCCACGCCCACGCTGCCGTGGTCTACCACAGAGGCAAAGGTGCCCACCGCCATGACGCCGTAGACATACCATTTGTAGCGAGGACTACTCGTTAGCGATGCAAGCATTACCGCCCGAGTCGTCCGTAGGGCCCGGGTTGGATCATGCTCCCGCGAAGAAGCGCCGGGCGTTGCCCACGGTAATCTGCTGGATGTCGGCATCCGATGCGCCCAGGGCTTTCAGGCGGGGCAACACATACCTGGGGATGAAGTTGTAACCGTCGGGATTCGCGCGCCGCCGCTGTTCCTGAACCTCGGCGCCGTAACGGGCCTTGGGAACCGAGTAGTCGTGGGACAGGAAAATCCGGTTGGTAAACCCGGCGTCCATCAGTTTCCGGGCGACCTCGGTGCGCTGTTCCCAGTCCGGAGTGCCTGGAGTCAGGCCGCCCGGATACCGGTCCAATCCCAGCCACACGCCCTTGTTGAGTAGGCCCAGCAGGTATTCCATATCGGTGTCATCGTTGCTGTGCCCAATGTAGACCTTGTCCAGGTCGACGCCTTCTTCTTCCAGAATCCGAACCTGCTGTTCACCTACTCGGTCGGGCGACCAGGTGTGGGTTGAAATTGGCACGCCGGTAGATTTTTGGGCTCGGGCCGCCGCCCGGAGAACTACCTCCTGTGGTGGAGTGATCCCGCCCCGGTCGCTGGCAACCTTGATGATGCCGGCCTTTATGCTGGTGCCTTCAATGCCTTCTTCAATTTCCCTGACGTACAACTCGGCGATGGCGTCGGGAGGCACGTCGCCGAACGGACGGGGCACCGCTACGTGGTTGCCGGTCGCCGCGATGATTTGCATCCCGCTGCCTTCGGACACTTCCCGAATCAGATTCACGTCGCGCCCCAGGTCAAAGGTACTTACATCAACAATCGTCCTACACACCCCGTCGGCGTGCACAGCAGACATGGCGGCGATAGACTGCTCACGGATGCCATTGCGGTCGATGAATTCCGGATAGGTGTGGCGAAGACCGGCGGCGTTCGTGCCCACGTGTTCATGGCTCAGGACGAACCCGAGATCGTCCGTATCCACTGGGCCCAGGACTGTATTCACCGTTGGCATGGCCTTGTCTCCTCGACGATCATCGTTATAATTGTTTCAACGTGGGATATTCTATTATCGATTGTGCCAGATTGATACCGGGCGATTGCCGACTGGCTGCTTGTCCGCGCGCATGCCGGCGATGCTTGTCACAGTGGGACGGGGCGGATATGATGCCGGCAATTCGGGTTCGGCACCAGAGTTTTGCAATGGCTTCGGTGCCCTCTGAACCCGTTAGGCCGCGTAACCGGCCACCAAAAATCAACCAGTAACCCAATTCCTGTGAGGTAAATCATGGTACGAACACCAACAGTTACACGAGACCAGGTTCCGACGGCGCTGCAAAGCGCCTTCGATTCGGAAACGGCCGGCTCCGGTGGCGTGGTGACCAGCGGCCCCGGTTCAGTAATGATAAACAGCCCCGAAATGCGCCGCCGTGCCAATTCATTGGTTAACTACCTGCGCGATGATTCCTCTTTGTCCAAGAAGATTCAGGAGCTGGCCATGATATTGACCGCCCGCAACATGGATTGCCAGTACATTTGGCACGCTCACTCCGCACGGGCCCGCCAGCAAGGCATCAGCGACGAGTTCGTGGACAACTTGCGAGACGGCAAACAATTGCCGCAGCTGCCGGCGGACGAGCAGACGGTCGTGGACTACGCCACCGAGACATTCCCAAATCACCGGGTCAGCGAAGCTACGTTCCAGGCGGCGTTGAACCAGTTCGGAGCCCTGGGGCTGACCGAACTGACCACGTTGCTGGGCTACTACTCATTGCTCGCTTTCAACGCCAATGCTTTCGAGATCGATGTGCCCGACGGCGACGAACCCAAGTTGCCCATCTAGCATCTGGTGAAATCCTGCCAGCGGTTGCGGGCGCTGGTCGCTGACCCACGCTGCGCCGCTGGCCCAATAATTTTTAGTATTCCTACCGGCGCACCGTAGTGGTTACCAACCCCGGATAGGGGGGTTCGCTAACGCCGCTTGGCACGGTTACGTCAAACACCACCGGGAAGCTGATGATGCCACGTTCGGTGCGAGCGTCGTCGCTGATGTCGGTTACCCTGGAACTGAACTCGACACCCGCTAGAGATGACATTGTTACCGTGGCCGGCTTCCCCAGTTCGATGCTGTCGATGAAATTGGACTCTACCAGTCCCAACACACTCACGTCCTGAGGGTCGACCACTTGGATAACTCGGGCGTCCACGGTAACCGCGTCGCCGGGAGCAATCGTAACCAGGCGAACCACGCCATCGAAGGGGGCATTGAGGATGGCAGCGTCCAGGTCGCCCAGCACGCGTTCGTAGGTTGCGGCGGCGGCGTCAATGTTGGCTTGCGCCAAGGCAACTTCGGAGGGATCGGAGCCGGCCACCAGTTCGCCGCGTGCCTCCTGAGCGGTTGCCACTTCTTTGGTCAGGGATTCCAGCGTGGCTTGATCCAGTCCTTCCTCCAATCTGGCCAACTGGGTTACAGCCGAATCCAATGAGAATCGCGCGCTGTCGGCAGAAGCTTGCAACTTGGCCAGCTCGAGTTGGTCGACTCCCTGTTCCGCTTCTGCCAAATCGCGGTCGGCGCGACTGAGTCGAGACCTGGCGATTTGTACCGAGGCTTCCAACCTCCGCAATTCATCGCTGTCAGGGCCGGCCAGGGAATCGTTGAGTTCCCGGTTCAGACGAACCAGAGTGCCTTCCAGCTCGCCGACGCGACTGATGGCTGCCAAACGGTCAACCTCTTTCGGCCCACCAATCAGGCTGTTGACTTCAGATTCCCAGGAGTTGACCGCCTGTTGAGCGATCGTTATCGCACCTTGCAATGCGTTGAATTGCACCACGTCGAAGTTCTCGCCATCACCGAGTCCCCTGAACCCGTCGCCAAAGATGGTGGACTGGAAATCGTTGAATCGGTCTTCGGCGACTTCCAGCCTGATTTCCGCGTTGGCAAGTTGCTGCCGCGCCGCCGCCAGTCGGTTGGCGTGATTGGCGTCGAAATCGCGCACGGCATCCCTGGCGGTGTCCAGAGCGTCTTCCATTTGGGATATTCGTGAACTGAGTTGCCCGATTGATTCGTCGTGCCTGGGGAAGAAATCGTTTACGGCGTCCTCGGCGGAGTCGAGGGCCGCCTTGGCCTGGGAACGCACGGCAAGGGCTTGGGCGAATTGCTCGCTGTAACCATCCGCGAAATCGGAAACCTGCTCTTCAGCCCGGTCAACGTTGGCTTTGGCGTCTGCGACAGCCTGGCGGGCGCCGCCCAGCTGTACGTTGTGGGTCAGTTGGTAATCGTCGAGCTTATCCTGAGCCCGTTCCAGGGCGATTTCTGCGTTTGCCAGTGCGCTTTCGGCGCGGGCCCTAACCAGAGGGTCGTCGGACTGAAGGCCCATTACCTGGTCGAGTCCGTCCTGGGCCTTTTCGAGATCGACTTTGGCCTGCGCCGCAGCCCGCTCGACAGCAGTCAAAGATTCGGCGTCCAGCGTCGCCAGTACGTCGTCCTCAGAAACCAGGTCCCCCACCGAGACGTTGACCGCGCCGACTTCCCCACGGACTTTGAACGCCAGGTTGGCTCGAGTCTTGAAAACCAGCTCGCCGCGCACCTGAAACTCGTTGGTAATCGCGCGACTGCCCCGGGGCCCGCCTCCGGATGTTTCGGGCGTCGCCGCCACGTCGGATTGACCGCCGCAGGCAACGGCGGCGAGCAGTAAGCCACCGCAGGCCGCTAAAACTGTGATTTTGCCAGACCTGAACGCGCGGGAAGGAACGATAAAACGTAGAAGTTTCAAATCAATTGCCTCTGGTTGTGGAATAGTTTTCGCGCTGGAAGCTCAGTCGTCAATGCTGGTTTGTTGCGGTTCAGCGGCATCTCCCAACTGTGCTGGCCGGTGGGAGACCGTTGCAACGGTGCGCCGATACAGATTGGGGATGGATTCTTCAAACATCATGTAGATGACCGGCACCGCCACGAGGGTCAGGAAAGTTGAACTCACCAACCCGCCGATTACCACGGTAGCGAGTTCCGCGCCCACCAAACCGCTAGATTCGCTGAACGCCAGCGGAATCAGAGCCAGGATGGTGGTGAACGCGGTCATCAGGATGGGGCGCAGGCGGGTGCGACCGGCCTCCATCACCGCATCCAGCGGGCTGCGGCCAGCGTTGCGCAATTGACCGACAAAGGTGAGCAGCACGATTGCGTTGGTAACTACGATACCGATGAGGAACAGAAAACCCATCAATGCCGGGAGGCTGAGGGAACGGTCGGTTGCTACGAGCGCAATCAGCGCGCCGACCACGGCCAGGGGCATACTCAAAACCACGATGAATGGAACCTTCAACGAACCCAGGGTTGCCGCCATGACCAGATAGACCAGCGAGACGCCGATAACCATTGCCACGTATACGTTGTTGAATTCCTCGCGGATGTCGCTGAACACTCCGCCAGAGCGAACCCGCACACCGGGTGGGAGTTCGGTGTCGGCGACGATTGCGTCGATGCGTTCCCCGATAGCGCCGGCGTCGCGACCGACGAGACCGCCGGAGATGGTGGCCGACCGATTGCCGTCGTAGTGGGTTACCACGTTGGGGCCGACGGTGAATTTGGTTTCGGAGATGCTGCCCAACGGCACTGCGCCCCCAATCCCGGCGATCGGGAGTTGCTGTAGGTCAAGGGGTTCATCTATGGCTGACTTGGCTCCCCGCACCACCAAATCCAGTTTCTCGCCGGTCAGATTGACCTCAGCAACGTCGGTTCCATACACCCACATGCGGATTTGGTTGGCCACGTTTTGCGTCGAGAGCCCATGACGCCCGGCGTCGTCCGGATTGATGGCAATGGTCAGTTCTTCGCTGCCATCGACTATGTTGGTTCGCACGTTCTGTACGCCGGGATCTCGCTCGATCGCAGTCTGCAACGTGTCGGTCGCCGAACGGACGTCGGCGTAATTGGGGCCGGTCAGGGTCAACCTTAGACCTCCGCGCTGCGGCCCGCCGGAGTCTGCGAACACTCGGATGGTCACGTCTTCGCCGCCAGGGAGTGCGGTGCGGAGTTGTTCGTCCAAATCGGCGGGTGCGTCATTCGCCAGAATCACGGTGAACCCGGCGCGGTCGTACGACGAATCGGAAGCGCCGGGTCCGAAATTCCTGCTGCTCGACCCGAGGGTGGATTGATAACTGTCCACGTGCCCGCTGGCAACATGGCCGTCGAGCACCTCCTCAATTGCCCGGGCTTCCCGGAACAGGATGCCAGTGGATGGGTTCTGGTTCAGCGTGAGGTCGATGCGCAGGCCCTCGGTTCGGCCGGTAGAAAATAGTTCGATGGGCAGCACCAGTACCAAAAGGAGGCTGGACAGAACGGCAACGATGCAGCCAAGAACCGTGGCCGTCCGGAACCGCAACGCCAACCTGAGCGCCGGCGTGTAGGCGCGTTGCATCCAGGTATCGCTGGCTTGGCCGGATGGTTCGTTGGCCATGTCTCCCTGGCGCAGGAACAGCGACGCGAGCACGGGTACGGCAGTCAAGGCGACCAATGTTGAAGCCAACAGCGATACGCAGACGGTCTGCGCGAAGGGCAGGAAGAATTGTCCCACCACCCCCGGTAAAAATCCCAGCGGTATGAATACTGCCACGGTGGTAAGCGTTGAGGCCACAATCGCCGGGCTGACCTCCTGGGTTGCTGCAATCACCGCCGTCGCGCGCGAACTTCCCTCCTGGATGTGTCGGTAGATGTTCTCCAGCACGACGATGCTGTCGTCCACGATGCGGCCAACGGCAATAGCCAGACCGGCCAGACTCATAAAGTTCAGGTTCCAGTCAAAGGCCGCCATCACCAGCATGGTGAGCATCACACTCAAAGGGATCGATGCTCCGATGATGATCGTAGGCCGCAAACTGTTCACGATGCCAGCCACGACGCGAGGCCGGACCTGCAGGAGGAATAGAAACACCGCCAGAACCGCGAAACCGAATCCCTGCAACCCCTGGGTAACGACTTTGTTCAGTTCTGCTTCCAGCCTCGGGGCCTGGCTTTCC